TGCCGACGACACTCAGATATCTTCCTCTTCGCATGATTACGATACATTGATTGACAATTTGAATATGGACCTTTCAAGTATTCATAAATGGCTTGCTAAAAACAAACTAAAATATCATAGGAAAAAAACAAAAGTCATGTTTATTGGATCTACGCATAATCTAAATCATAAAATAGGAAATAGAGCCGTTGAGATTAACAAAATCCCAGTCCCACAAACCAATACATTTAAATATCTAGGTGTAAATCTAGATGAAAAATTAAGTTGGGAGAAACATATTGATTCTGTATGCCATAAGATTAGCGCTGGAATAGGAGCAATTAAAAGAATAAATCCTTATGTTCCACACAAAACCTTACATGATGTCTACAAAACATTAATTCAGCCTCATTTTGATTACTGTTCTCCCCTGTGGGATAACTGTGGTTTGGGACTTCAAGACAAATTGCAAAAATTCCAAAATCGAGCAGCAAAGGTGATTACCGGAGCTGACTACGATGTAAGATCGTCTGAAGTCCTAAACAAATTAGGTTGGGAAACCCTGGCTAGGAGACGAGAACAAAACAAGCTAGTATTGATGTATAAAGTCTTGGGGAACCACACTGCGCCAAACCTTAAAGATCTTTTTCTCGGAGAAATGCATCGCAGAATATTTATGATTTACGCAATAGCGAAACTGATCTCTCGTTAAAAAAACCGAAAACGGAATTTCTAAAGAAAACATTTGGATACAGTGGAGCAATTCTATGGAATAGTCTGCAGCAAGATGTCAAGGCGGCTGAGTCAATTACGTCATTTAAAACAATGGCGAAATTGCATTTAAGCAGATGATAAGCTAATTTCTCCAGGACCAAATGATAGGAGGACAATATAGATTGTGGGCGGGAGGGGGGTTAGTTTTGCGTGAGGGTGGGTGGGTACTTGTTTAGGGGGTGGAGGTTTGGGAGGAAGATGATAATATTTTAGGGTGGGATTCTTGCATATTTTGTTCTATATATAATTAACATTTAGCTCTTTGTGTGTATACGCCCTTCGTGGAAACCAGTTGTAAATAATTGTCGAAGTTAGCGTATTGAAATAAAGTTTTACATTACATTACATTACATTACATGCAAACATATTGAGCTATAAATTCTACGTAGCCAATGCTCGAGCCTCAAATTTTGCTATTTTATCTCCTAGACCTGTATATGTTCGTGGCCCTTAAAAGTAGACAAACATTTCATGTGTATGTGGGCCGGCGTTCGGAAATATGCCATAAATTGCTACGATTTGGGATTTCGCGATTGAACTAAACCGAAATGATTTGTGCGATGTCGCTATGTCGGGCTATTTGCCAAACGAGCGCGCTAGCCGCTGTTATTTTGACAGAACATATGATACTGTACCTCTACACTTTTCAGCCGTAATACATAATGCGCGGATTGTAATCATATGCATATCGTCAAATTTAGCTTCAAAAACTTATTTTGTTAAATGTAAAATGCGCAGCATGTTGCGTACATTAATATCAAAGAAAAAAAGTTGACTTTATTAGACTGAAATAAGCAAGATTTCCCGTTACACATCATTTATACCGAGGCGGCTTTGCATGTGCTCTGCCTCTGGCCGACTATGACACCATTGCGCTCCGCGGGAACCAACACGAATAACATGTTTTTTATCAAGTTTTTGAAGCTAAATTAAACGATATGTATATGATTACAATGCGCGCTGAAAATTATGGCTGAAAAGTGTAGAGGTATCATATTCTGTCGCAATAACAGCGGCTATCGCGCTCGGTTGGCAATTAGCCCGACATCGCACAAATCATTTCGGTTTTCAATCCCAAATCGTAGCAATTTATGGAATATTTCCGAACGCCACATACACATGAAATGTTTGTCTACCTTTAAGGGCCACGAACATATACTAGGTCTAGGAGATAAAATAGCAAAATTTGAGACTCGAGCAGTGTTAGCCACAACAAGGGCAAATAATGTTAGCCAATCAGCGCGTTTGTTTACATTTTGCGTTCTTGACCAATCAGAATGCCTGAAATTCGAAACATGTAAACAAAAAGCTGACTCTTGCACAGTCCCTCGTTATATTTTAGTACGGGAGAATATGCCCGTTCGCGGGTTAGGCGTTGACAGCACACGTCGGAAATGCGAGGGACTGTGGAATCGTGTGTCGAAAAGTTGGCAGAATAGTCGAAAACTCGGCAATCGGGCAAAATTGACATTTTTCTCAAATATGAATGAATTTTTGGACGAAAGCGGGACGATGCAGGCTTTAGAAAACTCTTGGATGGATTAGTGTGACGAATTAGATGTCTAAATGGAAAATTTATCTCTTTCTGACGTAAATTACGGTGAGTGCTGATAGCTTGTTTATAATATGAAAGCCTCGATGAAAGCCATATGTTGGCGGATGTGCCATGGATTATATAAGGATGTGTATCTTAAAAACCTATGCTTAAAAATATGAACAATTAGCGACTAGGTATATGATAATTGTAGTTGATCAAGTAGTAATTTTGCACACACTTTTTTAGATATAGATGACATGAAAAATTTGCTTTCAAACTTGGAAGTCTCTGTTTTGGTCCTCAATGAAATATGGGAAACTATCCTATCCACATATAAATATGCCTGTGGCGATATATCTGGTATTAAAGCTAGCTGAGTATATACATCGTAATTGGTGACTTGATGGCTGTTGCTTTCCTGTATTAATGGCTGGGTGTCTTGTTGAACTGGTACACTTTGGAAGTACTACATGTTTATAGAAAAATAAAATTATATTTAATAAATATTTATTCAGTTTCTAACACATAAATAAAATATAATACAATGGTAGGTTAAAAAAATGCTGTATATATTGTTGCAAACTAAATAAATCAATCTATTATAGAGCTACACCAGATTCTTGCTGTTAAATGTTATACTTTCTTTGTATCATTGGCATTAATTGCAACAAATAAAGATACAAAAAAACAAGATACAAATTGTGCATTGACCAGTATTTAAACAGTGTACTGCATTGACTAATAAAAAAAGTTATTTGATAAACTTATGTGGTAGTAATTTACTCTGTCTAACATAGTTCGGAAAGGGTCTGTATTATATCTCCTATTTTATAAATACTCCCCCTATTAGAGACTGTTAATAACCTCTTTCAGAGAGCAAAATTTGACATTTGGACTTGTAGTTTAATTAATTAAAAACCACTTGTTCTGTAATTTCTACGATGGTTTTCTTATCACGCCCCTCTTTAATTAACACATCCTCTTTTAGTAACCTCCCCCCCCTCCCCATAACAAAACATTTTTTCAAGGTTTATCCTCTTGAAGCAAGGAGGTTTTAAACTATGTCTAATCAAGGATGGATCCAGCATGATTTAGTAGGGGGGGGGGGGTGCTCTACCAGCTCTGGTGCTGAGTTGTGTCTGTCATGTGTGCCGCCAGCCCATCAACTTGCTTCACTACTGCAAAGTCTTGCTTCACTACTGTATTTGAATTGTTGTGCACAGTTCGCTTATCATCATGTTATTGCTCAAATTACTGTATCTCATTTTGTCTCTAATATTTTTTCCCTTTATCATGAAAAATAGCATGCCCCCCCACCCTCTGGCCAGGGTAGGGGGATGCACCCCCACTCCCCCAGTAAATCCTTCCCTGTGTCTAATGGCTATGTTTTTGTTTGTCATACAAATCCACACAAAAGTCTATATTCCTCTTATTAACATTATGGTTGAACATAGACTATCACACTGATAACAAAGTAGCCTGCCTCGCAGACATCCTTAAATGGCTCAGAGCCATAAGGATGTGTGTGAGGCAGGCTAATAACAAAGCTATGGCTAAAGTTATATAAGCCACTGCTAGCCAGAGAAATGTACTGTAAAAGAAGGAGAGTGCTATTCTTGACTTGTAGCTATGTGGGCTGAATCATGTTGGTGCCATTTTTTCAAAAGGATCTCGTTATCTTTCATTGAATTTGGCACCAAAATGGCAGCTGTTAATTGTCTTCTAACTCTCAAGGGTTGGTTGCAAGTCAAGAATACCAAGAACAACCTCTGACTATAAGCCCTTGGCTTATATTCTTTTTTAAGCAATTTTTGATGGGCTTATACAGTACATGGGTGCTCTTTTCAGTCTTGTGTTAGTATATAATAAACAAGTCAGTCATAAACAGGAAAATAAACATGTATTAATAACAAATAAAGACAATGAGTGGGGGTTATATTCAGGAGTGGGGGTTATATTCAGGGGGGGGGGGGGCAAGCTGTAACAAATTTGAGCTATTCTAGGTTCATATTTATGTCTCGAATTAAGTTCATCTTTGTAAAAGAGCATTCAACCACAATAATGTTCCCTTCCATGTGTTGCATCCATTGTTTGTTTGGTATACCAACTGATATTTTGCATAGATTATTTTGGTCTGCATTTCCAAGAATTTATTACTCCGTAAATTTTGGAAGCTTTCCTTGCATCTTCAGCAAATACATTAACATCTTCCCTGGAAACTTTGAACCAACATCCACTCAATACCTAATAGTTGTAAATCAACAAATATTAAAATATGTGCATATTTTATGATTTTTATCCCCGCACAAAAATATTATTAAGGACGCAAAAATTTGCTAAACAAGCATTATTCTCAACTGTAAAAGAAATTATTCATGATATTAACTCGCCTTTGATTTTTTCTCATGCTGATATTGAATATATCACAACGTTTCTTCGCCATACAATACATGCGTTTCAATGTCAATGTTGAATTTTTAAATTAATATCTTGCAGCGTGATATTTTTCTTATGAGCCACACGAAAATGTTGCGGTAATCCATTTTCTTAAAAAAAGAACACATTTCCCACACATTCTAACTGGATAGACAACTTTATGCACCATGAAACGCCTTCGAGAAGTTTTTCGCTCCTTGGATATAGCGTCCGCCATTATGTATGGACGCCATCTTGAATACAGGATTTCCCAGTCGCTCGGAAACCTAACCCATTCCCATGATCCAACGCGAGCGACTGGGAACGAGTCAGTACATCTAGCCATCTTGTATTAAAAACCCGGAAATGGCCGGAATGTGAAAACCCGGAATGAAAATCCGGAATCTCTAAAGCCTGGAATGAGAAGAGCCGGAATCGGTAATAATGTCCGGAATGAAAAACTACTGAAACGGAATCTGTACGTAAAACCCGGGATCAGACGGATCAGAAAAGCCAGAATCTGTAAAACCCAGAAAGAAAGAAAACGGAATCTGTAAAACTTTGAATGTGAAAAAGCCGCTATCTGTACATCTGTACAATAAAAAAGCCAGAATCTGTAAAACTTTGATTGTGAAAAAGCTGCGATCTGTACATGCATCTGTACAATGAAAAAAGCTGGAATCTGTAAAACTTTGAATGTGAAAATACCGCGATCTGTACATCTGTACAATGAAAAAAGTTGGAATCTGTAAAACTTTGAATGAGAAAAAGCCGCGATCTGTACATCTGTACAATAAAAAAGCCAAAATCTGTCAAACTTTGAATGTCAAAAAGCCGCGATCTGTACATCTGTACAATGAAACAAGCCAGAATCTGTAAAACTTTGAATGTAAAAAACCCGCGATCTGTACATCTGTACAAATGATTAAAGCTGGAATCTGTAAAACCTGGTAAAACTTTGAATGTGAAAAAGCCGTGATCTGTACATCTGTACAATGAAAAAAGCCAGAATCTGTAAAACTTTGAATATAGAAAACCCGCGATCTGTACATCTGTAAATGAATAAAGCTGGAATCTGTAAAACCTGGTAAAACTTTGAATGTGAAAAAGCCGCGATCTGTACATCTGTACAATGAAAAAAGCTGGAATCTGTAAACCTTTGAATTTGAAAAAGCCGCGATCTGTACATCTGTACAATGAAAAAAGCTGGAATCTGTAAAACTTTGCCCGTGTGAAAAAGCCACGATCTGTACATCTGTACAATGAAAAAAGCCGGATTCTGTAAAACTTTGAATGAGAAAAAGCCGCGATCTGTACATTTGTACAATGAAAAAAGACGGAATCTGTAAAACTTTGCCCGTGTGAAAAAGCTGCGATCTGTACATCTGTACAATGAAAAAAGCCGGAATCTGTAAAACTTTGAATGAGAAAAAGCCGCGATCTGTACATCTGTACAATGAAAAAAGCCAGAATCTGTAAAGACTGTAAAACTTCGACTGTGAAAGAGCTGCGATCTGTACAATGAAAAAAGCAGGATTCTGTAAAACGCGGAATGAAAAAAGCTGGAATCTGTAAAACTTGGAATGTGAAATAGCTGCGACTGTACATCTGTACAATGAGAAGAGCTGGAATCTGTAAAACGCGGAATGAAAAAGCCAGAATCTGTAAAGCATATATACGATATACAACATATATCAAAATTTATTTATGTTTAGGTATAATTTGTTTTTTTCGGTTGTTAAAAATATAATTTATATATAAAAAACTAGTTATACTAGATGTAGAAAAGTATCTTTGCATGCACGACTTTTGAAACGCTAGCTCAAAACCACAGCGTGATGGTCCCTTACTTCAAGATGCTAGATAAAATAAAAAAATAATTCAGAAACAATGCTGTGAATGAGTAAGTGACTAGTTATTATTTATGACTGGGGTGGTACCAAAGAGAAATGTTTTTATTGGCTTCAAACTTTTCTTGATCCAATCATTAAAAAGTTATCCCCCTGAAAAGTTGAATATATGGACCTTTCACCTTTTGACTAAAATTTAGATTTCAACAAGTCTAGACAAAAATTTTATCACAGCTTGAAATTAGTAATATTCCGAAGTTTCGTTGCGAAATGTTTTAAAATGCGGATAATATAGCCTTGCGAAGTTTGCAATTTTCAGTCATTTTGTATTACAAACGGGAAATACATCATACCCTTTTCCCGAAGGAGGTATGTATTTCCCGCGCGTAATACAAAATGACTGAAAATGGCAAACTTCGCAAGGCTATATTATCCGCATTTTACAACATTTCGCAATGAAACTTTGGAATATTACTAATTTTGTGATGCTCTTTCAAGCTGTGATAAAATTCTTGTCTAGACTTGTTGAGATCTAAATTTTAGTCAAAAGGTGAAAGGTCCATTACTGAAAATAAATACCCACCCCTGGCCAAGAACTTTACAAAAGGATACTGTTCAGTTTTCACATCCTTTACCACTTCTGTGTCACGAGTTTTGCTTGTACAATTATCTGAGTTTCATGTTGTCTGCACATATACTTTCATTGCAGATATGCAGACACCATGGTTCCTAACAAATCGAAAAATGATCAAGACATATGATATGTATGGACATATGACTGTTGACATTGCTTCAATATTTGGGTCGGTAGGTCGTAAATAAATTTTTTTTAAATATTTTTTTCATGGTTTTGCCGGGTTAGTAGAGTCCCGACATCAATATTAACTAGAGGTGCGTATTTCCTATGGACGAATTGAGGCAATTTGGTTCAATAATTATAGTGACAACAGACGCCATTTTAGCACGCTGTATGAGCAGCCCGCAACCACCTGGAGAAAATAGGGTCGCACGGTCAATCGCGTTGAAAAAATAATAGGGTCGGCAGAAAAAAATAGGGTCGGTCGGGAACCGGAACCACACGTATTTTTTTTTACGCCTAAGTCATGCTTTGGAAATGACAACAAATTTTTATTACCCAACCCGTGAGTTGTTTTGTTTTTCATTTACCCGACCGTTTACTTACTCAAAATTTTGTTGATCCAACCCTTTTCTCTTCGGCGCCACACTCAGCCATAAATAATGAGCGGTCCCTAATTCTTGTTTGCAAACAATACTTTAATATTTTACTTTGGTTTAAAGCAAATATGAACGTTATTAAACCACTTTTTCTGGGTTTGAAAAGTGGATATACTAACCTTACACGACGAGTCACTGGATGTTGATCTAATACGTTGACCTAGTTTACTTGACCTAAATCAAATATACAAGATACATCATCCCGGTTCCGTATTGTTTCAATGTTTTGGTAGAGTCAGTACTCTTCTCACATACAGATCCTGAGGGTATTGTAAAAATCAAACCCGGCTCCCTCACCAATTGTCAATACCATTCAAAATCTGGAACCATGCAGTTGTTGAAAGCTAGTTTAGCGCTAACCCTTGCCCCTTGGTCAGAATTTAACCTGCTGTTTTTTAGTTTATGTATCTCTGCACATCTGTTTATTTTCAAACTTCAGAGAAGAAAATTGTAAAGAAATATTTCCAAAGTTATGAAAAAATCGTTGGGAAGACAAGTTTGCTACGAAGTTTAGGCTAACCTGACCTCATTCCCAGGTTAACGTATGGTTAAGTTTATCAGCTTTCAAACAAACCGCCGCCAATGAGTATAATTCAGGTTTGACTTGAATAGAACAAGGCTTGTTTTACGTGAATTAGTTGTGATTTATAAGAGGGATATTACTTTACCTCATGACAAAGCAACACCACTAGCATTATTGAACTGGAAAATATGCAACTAGTGACACATATATGTATATTCTAATTCCCCAAACACCCTTACCTTCCAATATTTCCCGTATGTCCCCCAGCCTTGGTGATACTCTTATACGATATCGGAGCGGGTCCTGAGATCACACTGAGCCCGAGAGGCGACTTGTGTGCGGTTACCTTTACCCCAGTACTTGATGTATTCTGTAGTGAAATTATACCAGGAGGTATAACTGATGACGTATTTCCGGTACGAACTTTCCCAGAATTCGGTTGTAACTTACACGCGAGACCGCTGGCACTTAATGTTCGTCGTAAGTGCGGATTAAAATGCGACTCGAGACAAGTGGTATCGGAATCGGAAAATCTCGTATCGCTATCGGACACGTGATACGTGTTTCTATTTGCTAAGATTTTACGCGATCCAAACCGAAGTTTATTAACATTGTTACTTTGGCTCGTGCCAGGCGAAAGATGGCCACTCGAGTCATTGCGGCCTATGGTAGCGAATGTCCGTCTGTGATCACCTCGTGCGAGGCTCGAGTTCTGTGGGAAGGCGTGCGGGTATAGACGCCCGATACTGGTAGATGCCAAATAATTTGAGACCATAGATCCAGTGTTTGAGATGACGCTATTTGATAGCGAGTGATAACGACGATCGTCCGAGTCACGAGATTTGGTTTGAGAACCATCTTTCGATTGATGCTGTAAGGAGATGTATTTTAGTTCATTGACTTGATTTACAGTCAAAATACAAGAACCTTCCCACTTCCGCAATCTGTTGTAATTTTCTGTAAATTGTTCAGCTTTTCTGCAGCGGTTATACCAAATGATTTCAATTATGAGCAAATATGGCGACAAAATTTAGTTTTCTTTGTTTCATAAGATACTTTGTAGCAAATTAAGGCTATATTTTTCGTTGTGTTTTGTCACGGTATTTGTCTATCAAATTGGTAACCGTAATACAGAACAAATTACAGAAAATGTCAACAGACTATACAGACTACAAAAGAGAAAGCGCGAAAGTTCTTGTAGTTTGACTGTAACTTTATTTAGGCACGGAAACCTGTCATCAGAAGATTCTCTTCCCGGGCGCCGTCAGTTACATTACAATTTATTTTGTCTTTTTTTTTTTTGAAAATTTTTAGTGTGTTGGATTTCCTTATTTCAATTGGTATTGAATAATTTCACACTACTGCATCATTACATTCTAGGCTGTTTTAGCAAAAATCAGTGTTTGGTTTAGGAATGGCAAAATTGTAGTCAGAACCTCGTGTATCATAACTATGAAATACATTAAACAGCCTCGGAAGATAAGATGGGCCTATAAACTCAGTGGCGTAACGGGAGGGTGTCAGGGTGTCCAGAGACGGGGGGCCCCCGAACTTTAGGGGCCCCCAACAAAAATGACCTTAAAAAATTTGATAGCACATTTCTGGGGAATTGA